GGCCCGTTTCCCGAAAGCCCCGGACTCTTTTCGGGCCTGCAAAACCATTTTTAGTTCGTCCAGAGAGGGGTTTACGCCTGAACTGTTCTTGTATGAAGGGAACTTCTGGTTTTATTAAGAATATGTGAATAAAACAGCCCTTTGATCATATTGTTTGAGATTTTGCTACGGCTTTCCGGGTGCGAAAACTTTTCGGGACCTTCGAATAGCGGGCCCCTGGTTAGATGAAGCCGAAGCTTCGTAAGCAAAATTGGGTGTATGAAACCAACAGTTTTCTTTCTTCGAATGCTTCGCTAATGTATAGATCGTTTTCACGTGACGTCATCACTTTCTAAAATCCGAAACTAAAGAGCCACCAGTCTTTATCCTAATCAGGCATAATAGGCGGTGCATTTTGTATCTGTTTACAGTTTTACAGCTTAATAGCGTGCTTCGTTTGGAAACCTGAGCATTTTGAATTTCGGGGTTATGGAGGTGCGTGACACAAGGCGTCGATCGAGTTTGGTATTTACATATCTCATGATTTTGAGCCATTTTAGAAGTTAAAGCATCAGGAAAAGTGCTTACGTAAATGCTTGTTTGTTCAATACTGATAATCAGTCGCCTAGATAGCCAAAGTAAGTTCCAGATATTTGCACTATTTTCTGGCTGCCATATTAGTGTGCCACGGATGCACTGCACCAACATGACGTTTTCCGAGATCTTTCAATTTCTGCGAAACATTTCGACGAATACGTGAAGTTTGGGGAAACGCACAGGCCTACTGTTTTCGATTTATTTCTTAATTGCGTGACACTAAAAACGATCTATTGTAGTGAAATGCACACCAGTTTTGCAAGGTATATTGAAAGTTCTTATTCATCTAGTATTGGTTTTAGATCAGTGATGTATCAGCACTATATAAAGGGTTATCACTATTATTATCACTTTTATTATTCTTTGTTGTCTGGGAACTTTTAGCTTACTTTCCTAGTATTCCAGGTAATTTTTTAACAATTTGAACAACTCCTTTCAAGAATTTATGGGTAACACACTCCCCAACGAATTGTGCACATGCTTTGTTCCCGAACATAGATGCGTACATTCTCGACATTAACTTCGCTTGGCTCGGGTTCATACCAATTCCAAAGACTTCTGATGGACAGTTCATATCGGGGGGATCATTCACTGTGGTGCACTGAGCGTAATAGGTCATTTTCGCCAGTGTCCAGCCCTTCCGAGCTGCCATCTGACCAAGCCTAGTCATTATAAGGGGCGCGAGGGCCTCAATGTCCTTAGGGATTAACACTGACAACAGCAGGAAGGTAAGACTGCAACCAGGAAGAAATTTCATCGTGACTCAGAAGTTTGTGATTTACCTGTTAAAAAGAATTAAAAAACAAAAACAGTTCACTCAAAGCACATTTACTACTCCAATGCTCATTAATCAGTTCCTATGACCATGATAAAAATTTATTTCGCCTATAGATAGCCGCTTCACTAAAGGAACGACTTGTCGTATTGCTAGCAAAATAACTGAGACGGTTTCTTCTTTCATCGTGGAGATAGATACAATTTGATTGTACCAATACTGCACTTAACAGTGACAGTGAGCCGTCACAGCGCATACTTAGAGGATCAAGAGGCTGCGACAGTTCACCAGCTAGCTTTACAGGTATTACATGGTTGCCACAGACATCTCTTTCCAAAATTTCCTGACTATTTCCCGACTTTTTCTTGATAACAATACAATTTCCCCGACCAAATAAAAACGGAATGTCAGATATAGTAGCGGCCGCCAGCCTCCCATTTTTTGCAATAAAATCACATCAGATTTACGTTTGGAGGGAAACTGCGCGTTCTTGCATTATAACGAAAAATTCAGAAATCTCGTCAAGTGAAATGGAAAGGTCCACTTTAATCGGTCGGACCAAAATTAACCGTTCCATTTTGACAAATCAATTCGCCGCCCTACTTCCCTTCAGAGGATTTCAGAAGCTTTTCACTTATGTGGAGGATCGGCGAAAGGAATAGAAATTGGTAAGAACCATTCCTCCTGGTCGGCCCGCTTTGATCGGTAAATGTCGTCCCGTTTGACATAATAGGAAGGACCCAGTATCATTTCGGGAGAAGTAGAAAAGATCAACGTGATGAAGTGCAAGAAGGAACTTACCAGGAATGAATATTGGTCCAGGATCAGCGCTCTTAGTGATTCTATTAAATGAACAAGTGAATAAAATTCTTACACTGAAACGAACAGGCAAGCTGAGAACATCATTGTCGGTTAAAAACGAGCTATTAAAGGAGTGTGACTTTAACTCTTAAGTTGTCCCTATCAATTGTAAAGCAAAACGTTTGAAAAATCTAATCCAGCCCTTCGAGAACAGAATAATACACGTAACGTAACAGACAACTGAAATTCTGCGACATCTTGTTACAAACTAATCATTAGCAAGCTTAAGCAAACCACGACGACAACGGCCACGAGAACAGCCACC